CGGCAGCAGCAGCAGCAGCAGCAGCAGCCGCTGCAACAGCCGCTGACCTGCTGCTGCTGCTCCTGGTGCTGCTCCCCTCTGTTTCATTTTGGCGTTTATTAGTTATTGTTTATTTACTTATTTATTTATTTATTTATTTATTTGTTTTAATTTCTCCTCCTTTTTGTCTATGCAGCTCCCCGTGTTTGCTTTGCCCCCTGACCTTGGGGTGTACGTACACCTCAAACGCCCGCCTCGAAGTGAAGAGGCGGAAAATAAAAAAATAAAGTAATTTATTAATCAAAGAATGAGTTTATTTATAATTATTAATCATTATTTATTTATTTATTTATTATTTTGTTTATTTATATATTTATTTATTTATTTATTTATTATTTAATTTACTTATTTATTCGTTTTCTTTGCTTTGTTTGCAATATAGAGCTCCTTAGTTAGCTTCCCACAGCTAGCCACGGCTGGCCGTGGCTAGCTGCAGCTAGCTGTGGCTAGTGGCGGCTATCTGCCGCTAGCTGTGGCTAGCCGCAGTTGGCTAGCTGTGGCTAGTCTCTTGGCTAGCCACCGCCAGCTGCGCAAGCTGCCTGCGGCTAGCTGTCTGTGGCTAGCTGCAGCCAGCTGCAGCTAGCTGCAGCCAGCTGCAGCTAGCTGCAGCCAGCTGCAGCTAGCTGCAGCTAGCTGTAGCTAGCCGCGTTGGCCTGAAATGGCTTTGGTGCAGGCAGGAGGGGGTGCACTTGGCTGTGGGGGGCCAGGGGGGCGGCAGCAGGAAATAATTGGAAAAGTTTGTTTTGAGAAAAAGAAAAAGACAAACTAAAAGAAATAAAAGGAAATAAAAAGAAATAAATTAAATTAAGAGCTGCTGTGTGCCTGCAAGAAAGCAAAGAGGCAGAAGGAAGCAGCGGGCACTCGCTTCTGCAGACAGCCCGTGGCGAGCTGCGCAGCTCCGGGAGTTTGGGGGAAATAAATCAAAATATTGCAATAAAATGGAATTATAAACATTCATAATTGTTAATAATAATAAATAAATGAAAATAAATGAATTAAAAGGCGCAGATCGCGGGCGGTGCGCAGGTGAGGCTGAGGTGTACGTACACCTCGAGCTTCGCGCACGCAGCGCCGATGTGACCACTGGCTCTTGGCGGGGTCGCGAAAAAGGGAATTGTTTGAGTTTTTGAGGGAAAATAAAGGCATTTAGGAGTTGGAGTTAGAATTAAAAGGCTATTTAGGGTTTAGAATTGGGGAAAAAGCTGGAGAAATAGGAAATTAGCTTGGCGCAAACCCCAAAAACCCCCCGCGCCCGCAGCTGACTGGTACTGGCTGCCGGTTGCAAACCCTCGCGAGGGTTTGCGTTTCTAGAAAGCTTTTGAGGGTTTATAAACCAAGACAATTCAAAAAAATAAAAGTTATTTCCTTTTCTTTTTTATTTCCCCGTGTGTGAATTCGGGCCGTGCGAGAGCCGCTCGAGCGCCGCCCCCCCGCGAACCCCAAACCCCAAACCCTAAACCCTAAACCCTAAACCCTCAAGATGTGCCAGCTGTGCCTGAACCCCGCGGGCGAGAAGAGCTGCTGCTGCTTCAACTTGTCTCTCGCGCTGCTGCTGATTGCTGCTTACTATGGAGTCATTGGGGGCCTCGACATCTACCAGGCGAAGCAAACTGAACCCTTTGAAAAACCCCAATTCGTGGGTGGGGTTGTAAACGCTTCCATTGGGGGTTACGTTTGCTTATGCGCTCTTTTAGGGTTTTTGAAACTCGGCCTCGTCGCCTACGTCTTCACCTTCGCGGCCTTCCTCCTCACCCTTCTCAACGGCATCTTCAAGGTCACACTTACCCTAAACCCTAAACCCTAAACCCTAAACCCTAGACCCTAGTCCTGAGCGCTAGACCGTAAAGCCTGCGAGGCCCAGAGCCCCGAGGGTTTGGGCTCGCAAACCCTACAAGGCCCAAGCCCGCGAGGGTTTGGGCTTGTAAACCCTAGCAAGCCCAAACCCCCGAGGGTTTGGGTTTGTAAACCCTCGCAGGCCCAAACCCGCGAGGGTTTGGGCTCCAGAGGGTTTAGGGTTTGCGGGGGCTCGTGGGGTTTAGCGGGGGAGGCTAGAAAGGGTTTAAGCGGATAGATAGGATTTTCTCTGGAGGCCTAGGGTTTGCTAGGGTATATTAGGGTTTACTAGGGTTTACTAGGGTTTACTAGGGTTTGCTAGGGTTTATTAGGGTTTAATTGGGGTTTATCAGGGTTTTTGGGGTCTGCCATGGTTTTGAGGGTTTCCAGGGGTGTAGGAGGGTTTAGAAGCGTTTAGTTTGCGAGAATTTAATATTAGGGTTTAGGGTTTAGGGGCGATAGGGTTTGTTAGGGTTTGCTAGGGTTTAGGAGGGTTGGTTAGGGTTTAGCAGATTTTGCCGGAGGTTTGTAGGGTTCAGTGGATTTATTAGGGTTTGCAAGGGCTTAACAGGGTTTGTGAGGGTTTGTGAGGGTTTATGACGGTTCATGAGGGTGTGTTAGGCTTGTTAGGGTTTAGGGTTTATTAGGGTTTAGCGTTTTTAGGGTCTGCTCTGAACACGCGCAGCGGGGAGAGCCATGGCTAAGGGTTTAGGGTTTAGGGTTTAGGGTTTCGAATACACGACAGGCTGCTGTCTGGAGCAGCATCAAGTAAAGTGTAGTTAGTTCGCCAGCTAGCTAGCTAGAGACCTGCTGCTGCTGCTGCTGCTGCTGCTGCTGCTGCTTCACACCCTGAGCACCACTGAGAGTTGCTGCTTGTTCTCCTGCACGCGGAGCAGCCGCAACGGCCGCTGCCGCTGCTGCCGCTGCTGCCGCAGCAGCCGCAGCTGCAGCAGCTGCAGCAGCTGCAGCAGCTGCAGCAGCGCGAATACCTGGTCTGACGCGGCGTTTTTGGCGCGTGTGCGTGTGCCGCCGCCGCCGCCGCCGCCGCTGCTGCTGCTGCTGCTGCTGCTGCTGCTGCTGCTGCTGCAGCTGGCGTGCTTGGTGGCGGAGTGGGTGCGCTGGGGGACAGGAATGCGGGACGGAACTGTGGAGTTTCAGAAAGTGATGGTCTTCTCCACAGCTTCGCAGCTGCTCACCATTCTCCTCACTCTCAGCTTCGCCAACCTCTTCTGGTCTGCTGCTTGTGTCTTCAAAGCTGGCGGCAGCGGCTGCGAGTTCAAGAGCTACAGGCAGCTCGAGGCCGCGAGGCCCAAGCCGGCAGCTGCTGCTGACGACGGCGCCTGAGCAGCAGCAGCAGCAGCAGCGGCACAGCGGCAGCAGCAGCAGCGCGGGAGGGGAGGGGGCTCCTGGGTGGCTGGCGAGGTGCCTGGCTAGCTGCCTGGCTAGCTCCCTGGCTGGCTGGCTGCCTGGCTAGCTGGCTGGCTAGCTGGCTGGCTGGCTGGCTACCTAGCTGGCTGGCTAGCTGGCTGGCTAGCTGGCTAGCTGGCTAGCTGGCTGGCTAGCTGGCTAGCTAGCTGGCTAGCTAGCTGGCCGTGCTGCAGCCAGCGGAAGCGAGTTCGGAAGCCCCAAAGAACATGAAGACGCAGGGGGAGGGAAGAACAGCGGCGGAGATCTAGCTAGCTAGCTAGCTGGCTGGCTAGCCAGCCACGGAGCTAGCTAGCTGGCTGTCTAGCTAGCTGCCCAGCTATCTAGCTAGCTAGCCAGTTTGCTAGCTAGATAGCTGGCGAGCTAGCTACCGCTGCCCAGCGAAAAAGCGCCATCTGCTGGCCACCAGCAGCTAGCTAGCTAGCTAGCTAGCTAGCTAGCTAGCTAGCTAGCCAGGCCTGGGCAGAGGAACAGCAGCTAGCTAGCGGCGAAGCAGCAGCAAGGCAGCAGCTAAACAGCTGCTGCGGGCGAACTGCTGCCAGTCAGCAACTAGCTCGAAGCTAGCTAGCTGCTAATTAGCAGCTGCTAGCTGGCTTTTTTGTTTTGCTGCTGTTGCTGCTGCTGCAGTTGCCAATTCTCATGGCCCCCATAGGGCACTTCTTACGGCCACCAGGTGCAGGCAAAAATGCGCCAGCAGCAGCAGCAGCAGCGGGAGCGGCAGCAGCAGCAGCAGCAGGAAACAGGTCTTGGTAATATATCGGGTAACAGCAGTCATTGGGGGCCCCCGTTTGCTCCGAGGGTATCTGTGGGGCCCCTGTGCACTTTTGCTGCTTCCCCAGTGGTCCAGTGGACCACTGGGGGCCCCCCTGCTGCTGCTGCTTGCTGCAGTTGGGCACATAGGGGCCCCCAGGGGCCCCCAGGGGCCCCCAAAATGAGATGTGGGGTTTTGAGGGGAAAGAAACCGTAAGGTATTTCAGGTGTACAGACAGCTGAGGTGCGCAGACACCCGAGCGGTTTAAGGTTTAGGGTTTAGGGTTTACGGTTTAGGGTTTAGGATTTTAAAGGGCTTTTTAGGGGTGGTTATTAGGGTTGCTACTAGGGTTGTTTAGGGACACTCTAAACGCTAGAGCCCAGTAGCCCTCCCGTAGGGTTTAGGGTTTAGGGTTTAGGGTTTTGTAGGTGTGCTAATTAGGGTTTGCTAAGGTTGTTTAAGGTTACCCTTAACCCTAAACCCTCTAGCGTGGGGGCTGCGCCTCACTTTTATAGCCATTGGGGAGGGTTTTTGAGGGTTTAGGGTTTATTAGGGTTTAGGGTTTACTAGGGTTTAGGCGCCGGGACTTAGGGTTTAGGGTTTAGGGTTTAGGGTTTACGAGGGTTTAGGGTTTACTCAGCAACCACGTCGAAGAAGCTGCATAAAGAGGCAAGCCAAATAATAATAAAAGCTAATTTATTTATTTAATTTATTTATTTATTTCTTTATTTATTTTCTATTTTCTGTCTTTATGTATTCATTGGAGTTGCAAAAGGCGGGAAGGGCGTTTAGAGGCTGCTGCTGCGCTGCAGACAGCCAGGCGCTAAACCCTAAACCCTAAACCCTATACCCTCGAGAAACCCCAAACCCTCACTGCCGAAGCTTGACAAATCCTAGGCAGCACAGCCGCCGCGTTGGCTACGGGGCTGCCCGTGGGAGCTGCTAAACCCGTTTTTAGGGTTTACGGATCTAGGGTTTTTAGTTTAGTGCTCAGAGGCCTAGGGTTTAGGGTTTAGGGTTTAGGTGGGGGCCCCTCCGCCGACAGCAGCACACGTCCGTTCCTGCTGGTCCAAAACCCTTTACTTATTTACTTTTTATTTTAAATTTAATTTAAATTATAATTCAAAATTATATATTTGGCGCTGCTGCTGCTGCTGCTGCAGCAGCAGCAGCACTCACTGAAAACAACCCCACCATGGTGCTGCTGGGGGGCGCGGCGAATTGAGGCAGCAGCAGCAGCAGCTGCTGCTGCAGCCCTTTTGGCATATTTTTCTCGCTTAAAGCTCTTTGTTTTTTTAGTCCTTAGGGTTTTGGGTTGAGGGTTGAGGGTTTAGGGTTTAGGGTTTAAGACCGCTAAGCCCTCAGGCAGTGGCTCCGTCCCACCAGCGTGGAGGTAGGCTGCAGATAACAGCAGCAGCAGCAGCTGCTGCTGCTGCTGCTGCAGCAAAAGATGGACCGAAGCAGCAGCAACGAGAAGATGGACCGCAGCTGCGGCGAGCTGCAGCAGCAGCATAGGCAGCTGCAGCAGCAGCAGCCACAGCAGCAGCTGCAGCAGGAACAGCATATGCTGCAGCTTAAGAAGCAGCAGCAGCAGGAGCAGCGGTTGAGGCCCCCGGGCTCCACAGCAGCAGCAGCAGCAGCAGCTTCGGATCCCTCTGAGGCCTCCTTGCTGCTGCTGCCGGGTGCCCCATTCTCAGCGGAAGCTGCACACGCTGCTGCTGCAGCTGCTGCTGCCGCTGCTGTTTTGACCACCCCTGGCTTCTCAAGCAGCAGCAGCAGCAGCAGCAGCGTGTGCTGCGGAGGAGCTGCTGCAGCTGCTGAGCTGCGGGGCCGGCGCAGCAGCAGCCACTTCTTCCGGACGCCAGGGCCGC